GAGTTAACATCTGAAAGGTATTGTTTTTACTTAGCATTCTGAAAGCCCCATAGCAGCAAAACTAACGGAAAAACAAGAAGATACGCCCTCAGAGCCTTTTGTAAATTGATTCTTGCTCCATGAGAAAATGTCGTAAACAGCCCGTCGTTCAATTTCCAGAAGTCTGCCACTTCGACCAAGCAAACCATGCATTAATTGTAGTGATTGCTACAGCAGAAATCACGCCAAAAAACACTTCAACACTACTGCTGTGTTTTCTAAGAAAAAACTTGATTACTGAATGATTCTGACCTTTAAACTTGTCTTTTTTTTGAACTAATATATTAATAAATTCAATAAATTATATTAATAAAGTCGTTTTACAACCGTGTTTTGTAGTCATAGTAAAATCGTCCAGCTTATTTTTTGAATAAGTAAAACTGCGGCTAAGAGCGACAATGAAATTAAAATCAAGTGGAAAACTCTTGAAAGTCATCCAGCATTAACCGGATGAGAATGAAACAAAAATTTCATTTTTCACAAATGATTTTCAAATCATATTCTTTTTGACTACATTCAGCAATTGAAATAGTGGCAACCGGCATTAAAAAGATCCTTGATTATACTTTTCTCCAACCACTCCCATTCATTGGTCCATGCTCTCACAAGATACTCAGCACCAATAAGAACACATTCTCTTGTTTCGTCTTCATTTCCCCAAGAGACTCTTGGCGCCCATATAACTAAATGCGCTCCGAAATGCATCGCCACATATTTGACATGATTCTTATCTGAACTGTGTGTTTGCAAATACGACATTAGAAAGGAGGACAAGAGCGTGTTGAATGTAGACTGATCTTTAAATCGAGCTAAGAGGTAAAGTTCCGCGATAAAGTTGCCGACGTCGAGAGATGATTGACAATATTTGGCCATTTCCCAATCTAAAATGTATATTCTTCGAAGTGTAGTGGTTTGAGTGTCAACGTCGATTAAAATATTTCCTGGCCAAAAGTCTCCCATTATGAACGTTTCTTTGTTCTTCATAATTTCTTCACCTAATGAAGTTGCAATTTGAGCAATTACTTCTTTGTCCGTTCCTGACAGCAAGACTTGTCCCGCGGCTTCGCACAAGCTTGTTGTGTATTTATATGTCGAATATTTGCACAAGATTTTTGCTTGGATGCTGTTTTCAAACGTTGCTTTTAAACCTTCGTTGTCGCGACCCCATAGATGAAGCTTCGCCAAAAACTCACCGATTGCCAGTCCGATTTGTGTAGCTATTTCTTTGCTTGGTGTTGTAAAAGTTTCGAGAGTAGGCAAGCAGCCACAATCTTGCATAATTAATGTATGGTTTACTTCGTCGAAGTGATAGACTTTTGGAACTTGAACGACGGACTCAAATGATATGAGTGAACTGCTTGCGATTCTTGAGAGAGCTTTATATTCAAAGACCTAAAACCAAAAGCTGTTATTGGATTTTGGGTTATTGACAAAAACTTCAATGCAAACCACTCACAATTCGTTCAACACCAAACTTTATTGATCCGCAAGTAGAAACAAAGGGTTCGGCATGTTTGACTACGACGCTCGTGCATCCTTCATATGGACGTTCAAGATCAACTCGAAATGTGTAATTTTCCGAACGACCTGAGAGAGGTGTGATGGTTTTAGCATGGACGGAGACTGTGGACAAATAGCTTTTTAGTCCACTCTGTGTTGTAAGGTCCATTGTATGTATGTCGAAGACTAAAATGATTGAAGATGGGTATACTTTATTAACGATAACTATACAATAATGTTATAATCGATAGTGTATATTGATCAAATATTTGGAATGTGAATAAGCCACATTATCTAGAAAGTAAACAAACAAACTACAAGATATTACAACAAATCGTGTTAATCTCGCTACAATGCAAATACACAATTTGTATAGTTAAATTCTGCCACATTATTCCGGTGGTTTAGTATTGTTATCGTTACTCTTTCAGCCAAAAACATCAATCGATAAAGAAAACTTATACACTATTTCAGGATTCTGCGAAAAAGATTTCTGAACAACGCAGTTTTCCAGAAAATCTAGCACCCTGAAAATTTTTTTCGGAAGTTTTTGACCTACATTGGAACGTAGAACAAGTAACAAACCAATTTTCTTACCTCAGTATTTTGTATGAAGAAACAAGATATTCATAAGAAATAAACAAATAGAGAGAACTGTAGTTTTTCAATTGATAATAATGGCTACTACTAAGAACTACTCCTATTGTCTCTTGTTAAATGTTATTTTCACCTTCACATCAGTACTAATATATATTTATTCAGATGATGCTGATAGGAAATTATTAACGAAAGAGGCTAGCATATGCTAGTGACATCTAAAATAACATTTAACAAGAGACAATAGGAATAGTTCCTAGTAGTAGCTATTATTATCAATTGAAAAACTACAGTTCTCTCTATTTGTTTATTTTCTTATGAATATCTTGTTTCTTAAAAGGATACTTTTAACAAACATCTAATTGTTACTATAGTAAGTAATAATTAGAGTGGATCGACAATTGTAGCAATAATCTATATCATATGTTGTATCTTACGCATGGACTTTTAATATATTGAAATAACGAAAAAAGATTCTTCATTTTACATCTCAATCTCTAGAAATGATCTCCATTCAACACTTCGAAGATAGAAAAATATGACTTTTTGCTGACATTTGTAGATGATTCATATGACAGTTGCTTACTTCATTTCTTAATTGAAATAGTACGAGGCAGTCGATTAACAAACGACTGGCTGCATAAAACGCTCCTCGGTCCACAGTGGGCATTTAGGCGGCATTTAGGTGAAAAATCGCAGGTTCGAATTTTTATATTTTGAATGATGACATATGTACTATAAATAATGCCCTATTTAATGGTGAAAAGTTTTTGGCTCTAGCTTCTTCCAAAGTTGAGAAAATTAAATTACAAAATTATCAGTAGAATGGAGTAGAAAAAATATGTGATACAGTGTGAAAAGATGACCGGAAAAATATTGTGTTTTTCTGCATTCTAATATATGATAATTTATTATTTCTTTTGATATTGTTCTCCGATAAACATCTAAGCATTGCCAAAAGACAAAATACCATAGCTACGTTCTTTTTCTTTCTGACAGAGAAACTGACGGATAAAGCTGATGATCAAGTAATAATGTTTCATCGATGAGGCCAGTGACAGTATAAGATTCGTCAATACATTCAATGATATTTTTCATTCTTCTCTATCACATATATATGGAATTTAAAGTGGTTAGTGAAATATTAGACATTGTAAGAAGTATCCAAAAATCAATCAGAGTATGGTTGGTGCTCTTCTAATGAAATTTTTCACTTAAGCGAGGAAATCCTGGAAATTTCAACTATAAACAAACCTTCTCTTCGTTATTTATATTATCGGGTTGATTCTGTATCATTTGTTTCCTCAATTTAGTCATTACCATCCACAATTAATATCGTATCATCTGCAATTGATAATGAGCAAAGTAATGTGGCGATGCACTTTGGCTCTGGTTGTGCACCATACCAAGCAGCAAATGTAAACAGGTAGAACAATAACACTGCACTTTAGACGTTTTTCTCTAACTCCACTTGGTCAAATTTATCTCTAGTTTTCTTTCGTTTGTTTCAGATATGGGTGTCAAACTCCCGTAGCATCACGAATTGATGTACGTCAAATGCAAGGATCCTCGGGCTTTAATGTTTCACATGGAGAAGATCCACCTTTTTATGGTCAACAATACCATCAAACAGATCACTGGATCCCAGGATGGTTTATCATCAATATGGACCGTACGATACGGATATCGGTTTCTATTAGGCCATGAGCCAGATTTCGAACAAGTATAGCAGAGTCAAAACCATCTGATAATGATCCTTAGGCAAGATCGAAATCTGGATCATGGCATGCTTGACAGACCACTGCAATAAATATATCTATCTGCTCGAACATTAGATTCTTCTGCATCTTCTGTATAGATTATTATACTTTATTTATGATTTCTTAATTAAAATCGTTTCGAACCAGTATAGCAGGGTCAAAACCATCTGACGATGACCCTGGAACAAGGTCGAAATCGATCGTGCTAGCTGGTACACATCCAAACTCTCACACACTCTCTAAAAAGATCCGTAGCTTACAAAACGAATATCGGTTTTGGCGTTTGCTCCTAATAGAAACCGATATCCGTATCGTACGGTCCTGCATAACCGTTTCGCAGAATACGCTTCAACGTTTTTTCTCTGGTACAAAACCTAAATTCGTTTCTTCATAAGGCAAAAAACGTTGAAGCGTATTCTGCGAAGCGGTTATGCAGGACCGTACGTTTCTATTAGGAGCAAATGCCAAAACCGATATTCGTTGTGTAAGCTACGGATTCTTTTTAGAGAGCAGGAGTTCATAAAACAAAGAATCCGGTCACCGTGGGAATGTTTCACTATTATATCTTGAAATTTGAACAGGTCGATCCTTTCGATCAAGCAAACTCGATAAGCAATAACATTCCACAATTGACCTCGCGACTAGTAGTTATAAACGGGTAAAAGATCTTATCGCCCAAGAATGTTATAAATGTATGTTCTACCACTCTACCATTCTACTTCCCTAGTCTCAGTCTTAGGCATTTTTATGATTTTCTCATTCAGATCTGCTAATATCTTACTTAACAATATCTTAAATGGATTTTCATAAGATCATTGAAAGATCTTACACGTATTGGTTTTTGCGTTCGTCTTTAGTACTTTCGTAACCCTCCCCTCCCCCCCAATATTAGAAGTAAATGTAAACAGGTAGAACATAACACTTCACTTTAGACGTTTTTCTCTAACTCCACTTACGAGGGAAGTGTCCGCTCGCTTTTTTGTTGAAATCTAGTGGAGAATAGGTTATTGACTACGCTGATTCCGAATATGACAATGGTTTTTGCTGCTAGGCCTTCGAAGACCTGGTTTTCTAGAAAACCAGTTTTTCAGGAACCCCAAAAAATAACCCGAACCTTTCTTAATGAATCATGATTGTAGCCCGCACATTTCTGATTAAAATAAGACCTCTCCCAACTCTACATGACCTTTCTTTGCAAAGTTATAGAATTTACACGAAGAGC